GCTCGCCGAGCTGAGTCGATCTAGCTATGTATGTCCGTCCGTCCGTCTGTCCGTCTGTCCATGTTAATTTGTAATCTCTCTACAGGTCGCAATTATTGCCCGATCTTCACGAAATTTAGAATGTAGGTGGGGCTTGGACCAGAATAGAACCCTATTGCTTTTGGAGATGATCGTCAAATGATTATGGGTTGAAATGGACCAAATACTGAAAAAATGTCGGATTTTGCAGTAGCTATACAGGTCGCAATTATAGACCAATCGACGCGGAATTTCGCATGTAGCTAGAGTTTAGGGCGGGGAAGAAGCCTACTAATTTGGGTGGTCGTCGGATAATATTTAGCGGGTAAAATAGACCAAATCTTTTGTGTTGAAAAAATTCAAATTTTTTCAATAAACCGCGAATATTTTAAATCCCGGCGAAATCACAAAGCCATCACAAGGTTACTTCTGACCTTTACATTGATGTTATTATCCAACAAATCGGATATATAGAAAAATATGTGCGATACATATGTCTATCAAAGGAGATATGCTTGAAAGATCTCTTATATGTCGAGAACGGCTGAACTGATTTCGACAGTTCTCATTAATTCAGAATGGCCTCTTGGCAGAAAAGAAAAAACGTCTAAAAAATCGCATAAAAATATCTCTCTAAAGATGAAAATATTGATTTTGTAAAATTTTCTCATATTTTTTCAATTTTGTCATATTTTTGGCATATTTAGATCTAAGAAGACCATTTAAGTGCAACATCTACCAATAAATTGGAAATGAGCTAATTAGTTTAAGTTGCTATTATTCGAAAATTAGAGAACGAAACCTGATGCTTTTCTTTTATTATTTGTCACAATTTCTTGTGGAATTCTTTCGAGTATCTCGCCTATATAAACTGTATGGTTTATTATAGTGTTGTAGGGTATTCAACGGTCGGCCCCGCTCGACTGTAGCCTTTGCTTACTTGTTTATTATTGTTTTGAATTCTGAATGAATAATATCAAAAATGAACCAGTAAAGAAAGTCTTAAAGTCGGGCGGGGCCGACTTTATGATACCCTACACTACTTTGCTAATTTAGTAGAGCTCCACATAACACGCTATGATTATAATTATAATTTAAAGTTCAAAGGACTAAACATGCCGAAGCATTTGTAACTTTTAAATTCGGACTTGTATTGCCCATTTGTGCAATTATATGAAATCGGATAAAGATATATATGGGAGCTATATCCAAATCTGAGCCGATCTCGATAAAATTTGGCAAAGATATTTCTGATATTTCCCTGAATATCGTTGTTACGGAGTGCATATTACGGATGTGGGTAACAAATATAACAAATCGGATGAACAATATATATGGGAGCTATAGCTATATCTGAACCGATTTCGATCATATTTGGCATACTTATGATCATATTTGGGCTGACATTACACGTTTGGTGCCCAAGAAAAGGCAAATCGGACGAAGATATATATTGGAGCTATATCTAAATTTCGACCGATTATTTTAATAGGGTTCTTGGGCCAAACAAATGATCTGTGCAAAATTTCATCTGGATAGGGCAATAAATGCGAACTGTACTTTGTTTACGAAAATACATGGAGAGACGGACGGACGGACATGCATAAATCGACTCAGAATGTGATTCTATGCAGATCATCAAAAGGAACTATGGGTCTATCTCGTTTCCTTTTGCCTATTACAGACTAATGCACAAAGACATAATACCCTGACCACTTTGTGGTGTAGGGTATAAAAAGTGCGCAATTCGACGTTAAATGGCGATCTTTAATTTCAAAACGTGGACCTACTTCATCCACATGACAATAATACGTCCAATGAGAACTCAAAATACAATCAGTAAAATACCGAATACAAAGGGCGCAAAATAGAAGTAAGAAAAGGATTTCTATCCTTTCAGAAATTCTTCCTAAAGTTTCAGATACCGTAAATCGCTTTTGCAGGTCATGTATGGGACAAGGAAAATAATGTAACAATCGCTTTTTTTATAAATTTACTAGCTTGCCCGGCCTGCGTTGCTTGCCCGTACTTTAAGTCTTTAATGCATATTTTTTAAAGCATAATAAATCATAGATCTGACTTATGTAAGTGGCACAATTTTTATTATAAGTAATGACTGCATAGTAATTTCTAAATAGAAATAAATATTCATGGCGCAATTTATAATAGATCTTCACCTATCGTCGGTTTCAAATATTTTGAATAGCCAGATCAAATTTTTTGATTGTTAAAAAACCATATTATATAGAACATCTATAATAGGCTCAGGTGAAAACGCAGCTCAATTTTTGGTATTGTAAAGAGCTTAGAAACATTTTTCATTTAAATTAGCTGCAATTTAAAATTTGTTTTTCCAAAGTTTAGAATGTTTTGTATTTTTGGCAAATTTATTTTACTTACTCAAACTGAATTTCATTGTAATCGGGTATACATATCGTGTTTGGTGCATCAAATATGTGAAATCGGCCGAATATATATCCAAATCTGAACCGATTTAAATATAATTCAACAAATTCATTTTTGTTCCTAATTTCGTTACTCATTCCAAATTTCATTAAAAGAAACCAAATACATAAAATCGGTACAAACTGTATGTGGGAGCTATATCCAAATCTGAACTGATTTCAATATAACTTAGTAAATATTTTTTTTAGATAAAATCCATCACACGTTTCAAATTTCATTGATATTGGGGATGCATAGCGTGTTTGCTGCATAAAATGCTTCAAATAGGCCGAAAATATATATCCAAATCTGAGCCGATGTAAATATAATTTGATAAATAAATTGTTAGACCAAATTCAATCACACATTCTGAATTTCATTTATATTTGAAAATGTATATGGGAGCTATATCGAAATCTGAATAGATTTCAATATAATTAAGCAACCACATTTTTTAGACAAAATTCCATCACAAGTTTTAAATTTAATTGAAATGTGGCGCACGTAGCGTGTTTAATGCATCAAATATGTGGAATCGGCCGAAAATATATATCGGATCTCTATCCAAATCAGAACCGATTTCAATATAATTTGACAAATTTTTTTCTAATCAAAATCCCGTTACGTATTCCAAATTTCATTGGAATCGAACATACATATCGTATTTGGTGCATCATATAAACGAAATCGATCGAAATATATATGGGAGCTATATCTAAATCTCTACCGATTTCAATATAATCAGGCAAATTTATTTGTGTACCAAATTTAGTCACTCATACCGAATTTCATTATAATCTGACATACGTATCGTGTTTTGTGCATCAAATAAATCGGCCGAATATGCCGATCTGCAAATATGCAAATCTGAACCAATTTCAATATAATTTGCAAATTTATTTTTGTTTCCAATTCCGTTACGCACTCCAAATTTGTTCGGTTTCCTTATCTCTGTCTGTTCCACATTATTTAATCTAAAGCTAGAAATTGCGCACAAAGCTTTATATTATATGCAGGCGGATGGGTATTGAAAATGGACTATATTGGTCCACGATTAAGTATAGCCCCCATACCTCCAGATTTTTGGTATTTTGAGGGTTTTTGTGTTACAATTTCCAACCAAATCCGTTTAAACTTGACAATTGGAAGTTTTCGGAAGGTCTGTAAAAAATTTGGCCTGCCGAACTTTAAGCCCTTTTTACTTGTTTAATATTAGTTTTTCGCTACATAATTTGTATACCCTACATAACACTGTGGTACAGGGTATTAAGTTTTTGTGTGTAACATGCAGAAGGAAACGAAATAGATCTATAGTTCTTTTTGATGATCTAAATACGATCACATTCTGAGTCGATTTATGCATTTATGGTTGCCCATGTGCTACTTTAGCCGTGACTGTCAATATTTAATACAAGTTGCACTGTAAGGCTAAGACAAATTTTGATAGGTGCTGGCTTTTAAACCCTACTCTCATATACATACAGTGTCGTCCGATTTTATAAGTATTTAGCACCAAATGCGTTATATTAGTTCGAATTTCAGCACACTGTCAAGCTCAGTCCAGAATTATATCTGGGAATTTTTGAGAATATCGGTTCAGATTTAGATACAGCTCCCTTATATATTTTCGACCAATTTCAATTTTATTGCACGCCATATGTGTAATATTCGTCCAAGTGGAATGGATTTTGCCACATCCGATCGAATACAGCCTAGAAGTAAGTACTTCAAATTTGGTGAAAATCGGTTCGGATATAGCTCCCAAATATGTTTCATCCGTTAGGGGTTTTAGTACCTTACATTCGTAATATGCACTCCACAACAATGATTTTTGAAACAGGATATAAGATACACCAAGGAAATTCCTCTGCCAATGACAATATCGGTTCAGTGTTGGATATAGCTCCCATATATATCTTTATCCGATATACGTTCTTTGTGCACCAAATGGTTAATATCAGTCCAAATGGACTTGATTTTTGCACATATGGCCTAAATACTTCAAAAAATCGGTTAAGATATAGCTCATACATGTGTTTCATCCGATTTGGTGTTTTAGTACCTCACATTTGTAATATGCACTCCACCACAATTTCATTTGGTACCAGATATCAGATACATCTCAGAATGACTCTACCAAATTTTACCGATATCAGTTCAGATGTGGACATAGCTCCCATATATATCTTCATCCAATTTTACCAAGTATGTAATATCAGGCCAAATTGGACGGATTTTTTCACATTCAACTTTATTTATCTTGGAAGCAAATACGAGATTTCTTGAATTCGGTTCTCATATATCTATTGCTCTGCTATAATCTTTTATCTGTAATGGTAAGCTCTACTAAAAGTGCATAGTGGTGTAGGGTGTCATATAGTAGGCCTCACCCGACTTTTAACCTTTCTGTAGTGGTTTGACTGAGACACAATTTTAAATTAACGGAATATAATTTTAAATTTACCAGTCACATTTTGTAACCACATTAACTTCAACACATTTTTTTAATTTTTTTCGGATTGCTACGTTATTCTCAGGCATGGATCCTAATTGGCGACACATAATACCTCCAGGACAAAACCAAGTAATATCAGAGGGGCAATGTATGGAAGACTGTACAGCATATGCGTTTCCGCCGGAGGGTATTCGCATATTTGCTGTAATGATGCGCACACACCTAATTGGAAAGGAAGTGAAACTTCGACAGGTATGTACTCTTAACACTTACTTACTTTGAGAGTATGATGACTCTAAAAACGTTTTGTAAGTTCTTGATGCAGAATTGTAATCTATGTTGTCATTTATATTTGTCCAACATATTTCATAGCTATCATGAAAACTCGTTGTTTGAGCACACAAGTCACAGAAAATAAGTCACTATTTCTCGTTTAAACTGTAACTCGTTGGACTATTTAATCCCAATACTTTTCTTTTACGTTTCTTTATCTTATGTTGGGTGTATTCTAATTCCTGATGACACTTTTCGAGTAAATTTGCGATATGCTCAGTGTTTTGAATACTTATTGTAACTCAGTCTTTTCAATAAATTAAATTAATGTGTCTTTACATATGGAGAACTGTGCTTGAATTAACCTAATTTTATATTACGCAAACAATGAATGAATTCAAAATCTAGTTTTATTCAAAATTGAATTATATTATTTTGTAATGGACAAACAATTGATTAATTCTAAATCTAGATTTATTCGAATTTGAGTTATTTTATTTAGCAATAAAGCAATTTATTGAATGTCCACCAAGTGTAGTGGCCCATATGTTCCGTGAGTGTGTGTATAAGAGAGGTTGTTTGTGGCTTTGTCAACGAAAACTGACATTAATTTCAATTTATTGTCAGTGATGTGTATATACCTATGATAAGCTCGGGAAACAATGAACAATGGCGGCACCTTGTGTGCAATAGCTTGTCTGGGAGAAAATAAACAAACAATGTAACTTATGCACATACATACATACGAACATTCTTTCGCAACGGAGTTCATGATGACCTGCATGCTATGGAGACTGATTGAATATTCCGAGTCTGAAAACAATTCTAATAAGCAGCCTGAATACATATTATAGATTCGCCAAAACGAGGAATTGCCGCCAATTGCACATGACAGCAATATAGACGTCGCCTATCAGGACTTCCGACGACTGTCAACACCCGTCCATGCAATGCCAGGCGATAGACTGGTAGCTGAATGCATTTATGATAGTTCGTCACGTAAAGCAATAACCTTAGGTAAGTTCCACTACTAACATTGAATCCAATATCTGTATTCCAATTTTCCATCTCCATATAAACCCCCGATTGTGTATTAGTGCATTGTAATTGTGTTTGGAAATGTAGACTTGATTCCAATTATCTGTTTGTGTGTTCGTGTGCCAAGTAAACTCAATTGAAGTAACTAAGTCTTCAACTCGTCGAGAATAAAGTCGAATGACTTTCCATCATTAAACCAAATATCAATCTCTACCAAAACATGGTTTTGTTAGTATAGCGGGAACTAAGTTATTCGCAATGGTTGGGCCGGGCGACACTACAAATGATTTCGGGTAACGCTGTAAAGGATTTTGGGTAACGCTGTAAGGGATACGGGTAACGTTAGACACATATACAATTAAAAAAACTACTTGTAATTCTAAAATTAAAATAAAACAAGTTAAAAAGCAGTAAGTTCGGCAGGGTCGAACTTTGAATACCCTCCACCATTTGGAACGAATTTAGAAATTTTGAAAAAATAAAATCCTTAAAAAATTCTGTTTAAATTTTAAAAATACCAAATATAGCCGATTTATTGGGGTCTATACGACGTGGACCTACATGGGCATTGTTTGTCGTAAGACATTACCATATACAAATTCGAAAACTTGAAATAAACGGTGAATAATGTAGCTAAAACCATCAAAATATCGTATATAGAGAGTTACCGTTATAACGGAGCTGTGCGAAGACCTGGACCAGCATAGACAATTTTCTGTCATAGGCTGTAGCATCCATTACGAAGTTCAAATACCACATCTCAAACAATTTCGATGAGTATTGTACGTAAACTCGTCAAAATAACGAATATAGGGAGGTACTGATATATGGGGCCTATATGAAGACATGGACGTGCGTATATCAATTCGTTCCAAAGATAGCGTGATTACAACAGACGGAGAGACAAACGGACATGGCTAAATCCATAGTATGGTGGAGGGTATAACAAGGGGGTCGACCATGTGATACCCTACAACACAAAACTATGTTGCAAGCCCTCGTATGTCCAAATCCATTTTGAAAGATTTTGATTTTAAATAAAGTCATAGAGCCCTGTATCGAGGTTACCGGCGCATTTGCCCTATATTTACAAAATTTCGCACATAGTGTTGCGGGGTGTGGAAAAACTTTGGAAAATGTATAATTCAGAATTATAAGTCAAATTGGAAAAATCGCAAGCAAAAAACAATATAACAAAGATTTTAAAATATATAACCTATAAGGACTATTCTCTGTCAGATGGTAAAGTACTCATAAAGAAATCCTTGTATATTATTTCAGACAATTCCATTGAAAATGTGGCTAAAATCATCAAAATATCGAATATAGGGGGTTGGGGGGTACCGTTGTGTGGGGGATATACAATATCGTGGACTGATATAGCCCATCTTCGAACTTGACCTGCCTGCAGACAAAAGACAGATCTGTGCAAAATTTTAGCTTTCTGTCTTAATTCGTTTTGACTGTAGCGTGATTACAACAGACAGACGGACGGACAGGGCTAAATCGTCTTAGAATTTTACGCTGATCAAGAATATTTGTTGAGTCTAAAGTTATTGTTTCGTTAAGCTACAAACGGAATGACGAACTTCATATACCCTCCATACCATACATAGTAGGTAGAGGGTATAAAATTCATATATTTTTAAAGAAAGATGTAGTAAGGAAACCCGATAATATGAACTTTATCCTTCACTTTTCCTAAAGTAGGGGATAACAAAAGTAGACAATAAAGGAAAGATATACGAACGGGTCTGTATATAAAAAAGAGGAAAATGTTTGTGCGTGTGATTGTTTGTTAGTAATTTATAGACTCAAAAACCTCTGAACAGATTTTCCTGTCAATTTTCAGATATATTATAGCACCGCCTGAAAGCAATATAGGCTATATACATCAGAATCGGAGGTACCTCCAAAAATTTTACTTATTTAATCGGACGACACTATATATAGCAGCTATATTCAAATCTGATCCGATTATTAGCTATTTCAATAGGATTCGTCCGTGGGGCAAACAAATGAAGTGTTGAAAAGTACATCTCAATCAGACGACAGATTCGACCTGTACTTTTTTTACAAAAATACGAGTTCAGACGGACGGACATGCATAAGTTTACTAGGAATGTGATTCAAAAGGAACTTTAGGTCTATTTCGTTGTCTTCTGTATGTTACAAACAAATGCACAAAGACATAATACCCTGTACCACAGTCTGACGTAGGGTATAAAAAATTCGGACATACGTCGGTCAGCTGAGTCCAACAAAACTTCGGACTTCGAATTTTCGTTGGCTATCTATATGGTATACATAGAAACTTTCTAATGCAGTTTTGGATTTAGAGCAAAATTTAAGCTTCGTGATATATATTCTTGAAGCTCTCCGACATACGATCATCGTTTTCTATTACTTCCCAATTGCAAAATTTTAGTTTTATTGTACACGGTAATATCCTGCAGATGTATATAAAAATGAAAAATGTCTGTATGTTAGTTTGGTGTTTGTGGATCAGTCATTCAAAACCCGCAGTCATTTGGTTTTCAGTCTTTTGAGTTATCGTTAAAAGCTGTGGAAAATTAACAGAACCACAATCCGAATATTGTCGCTTTATAAAAATTGTCGCTTTGTCGCAAAATTAAAGGAAATTAATAGCTTTTATTATTAAACCTTTTACATTAAAAAGTGTCAATGGTATAAAATGGTGTAAAAAGATAGGAGTAGCTATTAAATGATAAAATCAGTTCAATAATATATATAACTACGACACAATAATATATCTAAATCTGAGGTTTTACTTACAATTGTGGAAGGAAGTATGTAGGTGCTAAGTGAAATTTTAATAAACATAGTGCATATATTTGGATTTTGAGAATTCAAAATGACAAAAGCTTTATCCCTGATAAAAAAATTGCCAGGAAATACCTCCTAAAACTGTCACATTTATATATTTAAAACATTTGCTTAGGTTTATGTTAATTTCTCATAATCCTTTGTTTTTAATCGGTATTAAAACTATTTTTCCAGCCTTAGTCCAGATTAACGAATATTTCAAAGTATTGATTATTGACGGTTTATAACAAGTATCAGATGTATGAATATTCTTGGTTTTTGGTCCTTCAACCACTGTATCAGCACTAGCGCAAAAGCCAGGAAATTCGACAACGATAGGGAATATGAATTATTGAAAAGAGAGAGAAGAAGTTGTTTATTTTGTTCGTATGCCACATGGCATGACGGCATTCTCTTCTTCCGTCGGCATGTGCATAAACTCTGGTGCACCAACATTTTTGATACTGTGTGGGAGCGTGTGTTTGTGTGTATGTATGCGTGCATGAATCTGTGTGTTAACTAGTTCCTCGTAATAATAAAACTTGCACACGTATTTTCTGCAGATCCCACCCTATTTTGCTACTGTTTGATTTGTGTCCTTTTGTCTGGTTTTATATTTTTTGTGCTTGCTTTATAGGTGGCCTGACGATGAAGGAGGAAAGCTGCATTGTATTGACTCTTTATTATCCGCGGCAAAATAAGTTAACCACCTGCCATTCCCTCCCTAGTCTACCGACAGTTCTGCATTCATTGGGCATAGAGCAGTTAGCAACGTAAGTATGGACGGTGTTCCCTTTAACTTTCTCTCATTCCCATTGTGGGTGGACTCGGTGTAGGGAACATCTGAAAGTAACAACTGAAAGAACAATAAATATATAACGAAATTGAGGATAATGGGCAAAAAATTTGTTGTCGTTGTGCTACAACGCTAGAAAGGAAAGCAAACTGAAACGAAAGTGCATCAAGTAAAAATAATTCAGATTCATAAGTAGTCCTTGGTACACAAACTCGAATATTTATGAAATTAAATGAAAAGCAAATAAGCGGCAATATTATGGTCGATTCAGGCATTAAAAGGAGGTTGGTAAATATGAAATGAAATAAAATTGTTTTAAGGAAACATTTCAACAACATGTATGAACATATATCGTATTTGAGAAATATTAAATCGAATAAAGGGAGACTCGCATTAAAAGCTGACCATTTTAATTTTAATTTGCATCTTGATGAAACAAAAAAAAAAATAATTACAAGAATTACCAAAGATTTTTCTAATTCTAGTTTTTTATATATAGCTTAAGATAGAATAACTTAAAAATTTCGACGGCAATCTGTACATAAATATTCCAATAATATATTTCTAGTTAGTCCAATATAATAATAATAAGAATTAGAAAAAAATGTTGTTTAGTGTAGCCAATAATTGACATTCTTCAAACGAACAATGGAAAAGCTGTGAAATTAAAAAATATGTTCATTGAGTACAGATTTTCCATTTGAGCAACATTTTGTGAAATTTGGAAAATGCGAGCAAAATCTACCAGTAGAAGACATACTTGTTAAGAACTTACAATTGAGTCCAATATACTTCCCAAAATGTTTACATACAACTTATATTATTGTGAAATGAAACAAAAAAATACAAAATAAAAGAACTCATTAAACATTAATTAGCCGCATCACAGTGAGTTTAAAATGACACAAATTTCGAATGCCAAATTTTAGTGGCAAAATTATAACTACGTATTTAAAAATAATGGGTTGATTTGTTAGTGGCAGCGTATGCCAAAAATACCCATTACTGGGTAGTTTGTATTGTCTGTATTCATAGTAATAATACTGTAATGTATGAAAATAGTTGATTTATATTTATAATATAATTTTTACATATTTTTCGTTTCTTGCCTTTGTAGGGACTCTAACCCTGTTTTGATTTCATCTCCGCCAGAATTAGCTGGAATGACTCTCGAGGCGAGGCTGCTGTCGTACGACTGGCAAAATCATTTCAACGATTTTCAGGATGCAACGAGATCAGGCTCATTTAAACCTCTTTGTTGGGGAGCCCGTAATCATGTTGTACCGGTAAGTAAAATATTTATTTCATTGTGAAAGTATTTTTTATCTCATTGGAAAATACTAGAACTTGTGTGATATCCAACGTTCAAATTTGGTGAAGGTCGGTTCAGATATAGCTGTAGCTCCCATAGATATGCTCCATTCGATTTGGTGTTTAAGCCACTCACATTCGTAATATGCCCTACACCACAATGATATTTGATATCAGATATCAGATACAGCCAAGAAATACATACAGGAAATATTCCCAATTTTGGATAGGATTTTGCATATTCAACCGAATTTTCCTATTTGGTGAAAGTAGGATCTCATATATCTATTGCCTCGATGTATATTTTTTTTAACATAATCCTTCTTGAAGTCATATCATGTACTCTACCGCAATGTTATTTGCCCCCATCATATATGTTGGAATTCGATTCAGAGCTCGATATATATTATACATACATTAGCTTCCTAGGATTTTGAATTATAACTGCCCTAAATCCACAGTTCGCATTCAAAAAAGGTTCCAAGTTGGTATTATCTACTTCTATAAACTCCCAATATAAACGTTTATTCAGATTGAGCTCTTCTAAATATACACAGTGTATCGGAAAACTTGAACGTATCCCAATGATGAATGACGATAATTTCATAAAGCGATTAGCGAAATGGGTTTTTTATAATCCAAAACTGATCCCTGCATTTATGCAAAAAATTCATAAAAATGGTACAAAGATAACTTTCCTGGCCTTTTATGTAGATATAGTATTGCTGTTTAGAAATGATCTGTCATACGTATAAGATTTGAAAGCTTAACTAAACTAACCAACTTGGGAAAAGAAAAGCAGTGCTTAGGTATTCGAATTTCCAGAAAAAAATGTCATTATATTCGGACCAGGAAGAATATATTGATGAAATGTGAAGGAAATTTAATATGGAAAATTGGATTTGTGTACTAAACTTTCAAAGGAAATGTTCCCTATAACAGATGAAGATATCAAAGAAATGTTCGGAATCCCGTATCAATAAGCAATTGGAAGTCAACCTTTAGCATCGGATTGCACAAGGCCAGATACAGGGTGGGTGAGAGGTGAGGTGAGACTGCAACCAACTACAGACTGCTGCCATTTCTAAACCACTCGTCCGACAGCTGTTCAAATTATTCCAGTGACATATCATTATACAATTGCATTTTGAAAATTTTCCAGAAAAAAGTTATTCGTGATGGAATTCAAGCGTGATAGTGTGATATCTTTACATTTGGCTGGAAAACAACAAATGGCTATATTTAGAGCACTCCAGTATTTAAGTGTGAATCAATCTTTTGTGTCTTGTCCCATCGCTCGTTACCGTGATACTGGTAGCGTAGCCCGGCGTCAAGGAAGTGGACGGAAGAAAACAGCAACATCAGCAGAAATGGTTCGAAAAGTAAAGAAGCGACTTGGCCGAAAAATGGCTGGTGAGCTGAACATATCACAATATTCCATTCGGCAAATATAGAAAGATGAGCTCGGGATAAAGCCAATGAAATTTCAAAAAGTGCAAGAACTTACAGAAAATAGACTCAAAAGAGCTATAGAGTTGCTTCGCTTGTACGAAAGAGGTGAACTGCCGAAATTGGTTTTCTCCGATGTGAAAACATTCGTTGTCCAGCAGTTAGTAAATAAACTAAAAGATAGTGTCCGGATACCAATCCGTTGGACTATTGTGTCTGGAGTATTTTGGAAAGCAAGGTTGGCACTAAAAATACCGAAGTGTCGATCACCTCAAGCAAGCGCTTCGCTGGGAATAGGCAAAATTACCGCAGAGCAACATTCAGGCAGCGTGAAGATTTCATTGGCCGTTTTAAGGCCATAATTCGTGCCAAAGGTGACCAATTCGAACAAATCTAAACTTATTATAAAATTTGATTTTTTTGCTTTCATAAAATAAAACAAATGTAAAAATTATGGCGTTTGAGCTTTTTGCAGTTTTTTTTTTATCCCACCCTCTATATATAAAGCAGTAGATAGTCTTAGCACTTTTAACAATGGCCGTAGAAAAGCACATTGGATTGCAGTGAAACGAAATTACAGATAACTTTCTATGCGCATTTGAATGAATTGCATCTGGACTGATTTCCACGTGCCGTGGCTTATAAGATTCAAGATATAAAAAAAATCATTTTACCCGGGTTTTCCCTCGCGATTGAATTGAGAATCCAAAATACTAGAATGCTAGAAAAATGTACGCATGAAAATGTTGTCTGCGGGATCAAAATTGCCACGATCCTATACTTGTAACTCGCGTGAGTTATACATCAAAAAATGCGAAATCGCAAGTTCTATAATCACAAACTAAGTGTTGAGAATAAATAAGATAAAATACAATGCGCGTCCCAATTAAATCAAAAGCTTAAAAACCCTTAATTTTTGGTTGCAAAATGTCAACCCCGATGGAGCCGGTTGCAGGGATTTTGGAAATTACTACTAGCTGACCCGTCCCGCGTTGTTGGCACTTAGTTTGGGTGTCAGTATTCCCCAAAGTATGAGACTATATGCTTAAGATAACATATTTGGCCGATAATTTTCCAAATTAAATGAACTTGTATCTGGAAGGTTCAAAGCAATTCGACTATTTTAAATGTTCTTTTTTAAGAACAGTGAATATAATTATTTTGAAGGCCTTATATTATATAACCAAGTGCAGTCAGAGATGAACGTACTTTCTACAATTGACATTTGTCAATGTCTATTCATCTATTTCGGAAAAGAGAGGAAATATCGCATGGGATAGGTAGCCCATTTCAGGAGCAACTAAAAAGTAATTTGGTAACAAACCATCAACAAAATCAAACATACAACCTCTTCGCTTATGTTCAATATAAATGTTATTGTCAAAATAAATTGTACATATCAAACTCACTGCGACTCAATGTTACTAATATTGAGATTGATGATGATATGCTATTGAAACTGCTTGAACTAAGCCCATAACAATAACCAGTAAAGAAAGTCTTAAAGTCGGTCGGGGCCGATATTATGATACCCTACACCACTTCGCTAATTTAGTAGAGCAGCGCATAACAATTAAAAGTTTTTATGGGAGAATTCAATCGTACAAGCTATGATTATAATTATAATTTAAAGTTCAAAGGACTTAATATGCCGAAGCATTTGTATCTTTTAAATTCGGACTTGTGTTGCCCATTTGGTGCACAAATAATTTAAAATCGGATAAAAATATGTATGGGAGCTATATCCAAATCGGAACCGATCTCGATAAAATTTGGCAAAGATATTTCTGAGCTGTATTTGATATATTTCCTTGAATATCGTTGTTACGGAGTGCATATTATGGCTGTGACAAATCGGATGAACAGTATATATGGGAGCTATAGCTATTTCTGAGATGTATTTGATATATTTCCCCAAATATTGTTGTTACAGAGTGCATATTACGGCTACGGTGGACAAAAATAACAAATCGGATGAACAATATATATGGGAGCTATAGCTATATCTGAACCGATTTCGATCATCAATTTTTCAGGTCCAATCTGATTGTACGTGCAAAATTCCATACTATTCGGACTGATATTACACGTTTGGTGCACAATAAAAGGCAAATCGGACGAAGATATATATGGGAGCTACATCTAAATTTTGACAGATTATCTCCAATTTCAATAGGGTTCGTCCTTGGGCCAAACAAATCATTTGTGCAAAATTTCATCTGGATAGGGCAATAAATGCGAACTGTACTTTGTTTACAAAAATACATGGACAGACGGACGGACATGCATAAATCGACTCACAATGTGATTCTATGCAGATCATCAAAAGGAACTATGGGTCTATCTCGTTTCCTTCTGCCTGTTACAAACAAATGCACAAAGACATAATACCCTGACCACCTTGTGGTGTAGGGTATAAAAATGAAAACAAGTGAAAAAGCAGTAAGTTCGGCCGGGCCGAACTTTGAATACCCTCCACCATTTGGAATGGATTAGAAAATTTTCAAAAAAAAATAAAATCCATTAATCCATTTTGTTAAAATCTTTAAAATACCTAATATCGGAAGTTGCCTATATATGGGGGGTGTACAAAATACTTTGTACATACTTTTGGGAAAATCTACCAATAAACAATAAATATTCTAAAATTACATATTTCCCAGCGGCCATAAAAAACAACACAGTGAACAATTCGGTGATCTTGTACGCTGACGCATACGATAATGTGTGAGATAATAAAGGCTATGACCCACACGCACAGATATCAATGCGCTCTGTAGATGCAGAAGACCACTTGAATGAAATGACAAGCAGCCCTGCAATGTTCTCCATTCAGTATTAGAATAGATAAGAATAATTGTGTGGCTGCGATTAGGTTAAGATAGATTAGTTTCAGTAGTACTTAAGGAATATACTTTTAAATAACAAGTTAAAAAGCAGTAAGTTCGGCCGGGCCGAACTTTTAATACCCTCCACCATTTGCAACGAATTTGGAAATTTTCAAAAAATAAAATCCTTAAAAAATTCTGTTAAAATTTTAAAAATACCGAATATAGCCGTTATATTGGGGTCTATACGACGTGGACATACATATGCATTGTTTGTCATAAGCCATTACCATATTCAAATTCGAAACTGGACCCGCACCGACAATTTTCTGTCACAGACTGTAGTTCCCATAACGAACTTCAAATACCAAATTTTAAACAGTTCCGGTTAATAATGTCGCTAAAATCATCAAAATACCGAACATAGCGAGGTGCCGTTATATGGGGGCTATACGAAGACGTGGACCTGCACAGACAATTTTCAGTCTTAGGGTGTAGTATCCATTTGGAACTTCAAATACCAAATTTGAAACAATTCCGGTGAATAACGTCGCTAAAATCATCAAAATACCGAATATAGGGAGGTACCGTTATAATGGGGCTATACGAAGACGTGGACCTGCAAAGACAATTTTCTGTCTTAGGGTGTAGTATCCATTTGGAACTTCAAATACCAGATTTGAAACAATTCCCGTGAA